CCAAACTCCCTAGAAAAATTCATGAATATAGAAAAGGTTTATAAGAGAAAATTATAAATATATGTAAAAGATAAATGTTTTAGCACATGTCCCTTTGAGCGTGCCAATTTGTTTACACCGAAAATTGGCAAACAACTATTAGTCTCTTTAATAAAGGTTACTTGCAGGATTAACTATAGAATCCTAGGACATAGTGCCAAAAATTTGTTTTATAGTTTTCAATTGAATAAATCCTAACTTCGACTTGGTCAAAATAGTGATAGAAAAAGGTTGTAGAGACGTATATTTCAACAGTATTGAAAGTAAAAATTGTTGTAAGAACCAAAAATATAAAGGCAATGCAATTGAGTAAAAATGAAAGTAAATGGGTAAGAAGAGTTAATTGGATTTAAAGACTTTGTATTAAAATAAAAGTGGTGTTTCAAGGTTCATACATTCTCTCAGTGGTAACTCTTTTTTTTAAACGCTGGTACTTCGAGTGTAAGTGAGATTTTGTAATGAAATAAACACCCCGAGCTCTACAAATGAAATTCCTATTTATACTAGTCCAAAATAACTGCTTCTAGCATTCACATCTTTAGCTTTCGCCACGTAGAAGCTTGCATGTACTCCGATTTTGCATTCTCCCCATGTGTCCTTCAGAATGGAACACAAAAATAATTATCTGTATTTGATCGTGATATTTGCACGCCCAAATAATTGCTTCTTCGACGCACTTGATGCTGTCGAGAACAGTGTTGTTGAAATGTTTCCAAAATGATATAGAGTGATCAGAATGGATCGTCTTAGCCTTTAATGTAGGGCAGAAACAATGGTTATAGGAGAGGAGGGGGTGTACCTACAAGGTACTCCGATGTCAAAGTAAGTTTTGGCTAGAGAAAAGGCAAGTACGAGTGTTTAGGTATGAGTTAAAATGATTAGGATACCTGACCCTCTCAAGAGAAAGCGTATTTATGTGATTCCCCCTAGCACGGGGCCAAGGTCTACCATGTGACCGAAATATTTGTTCAGCCAAAGGGGGATTGCCAGGTGGAAGATCTAGCGCGTGATCTTTGACTTGGTGCAACTGTCCCCGTGACTTTCGAATGAGCAGTTGGTCGCGTGAATTGTCAAGCGCGTGAGGGGGACAACAACTATATGCTCCAACTGTCATATTGTTCCCAACGGTTATATTGTTCCCAACGACTAGATTGTCCTAATCCCTTTATTAGGCATGGCCTCAAGCTAAACTGGATTGGGCCTTACCCAACTGTGGGGCATGTGCCTGTCCAGTCCAAAACAGGAGCCCCCCAAGTCGTTTTTTTGAGGTGAGGAGTAATGACTTGAGTTACCCTATCTGGTCAACCAAGCGGCAAGAACCATATTGCAGGGAGGTCTTTGAGGTTGTCATTATTTGAACAAAAGACTTCGGGGACGCGCATGCGCGTATCATATGATTAGTATGGCCGACTACTGATTGCGCACAACCTCCTTGGAGGTGCAAGGGCGTGGTCGAATATGAAAGGTGCGTTTTACGTCGATCAGACTTGTTCTTAAGATGCATAAAATGTCGACGAGACTTCTGCTCGGGTGCTATTTGGGGACATTATCAAGGAGAATGTGCCCGCGGGGAGCGGAGGAACTTGTTATTTCACAAGCATGTGAAGGGTCAATTTTGAAAGTGCCAACTGACATCTTCCTCTTTTGCCACGTGTGAAGGCGTAGTTAATTTTGTTAAGGCCTAGGAGGTCTAGAAGGCTAGGCAATGATAACTTTTTGCCCTTTGCGCTTCCTTATGCGAGGAAAAAATTTATATAACGGGGGAAGAAGATTCATTTTTACTTCACAAAAATCTCTCTCCTCTTATCCTTTTGCTCTGCAACAATTGTCCGTCGCCGGAGCATTCTTCGTTGTCGTTAGTCATCCTTGTCTTTTTCCAGATCTTCATCTCCAACCTCCTTATCCAAGTAATTTTTTCATCCTTGCTGTTAGAATGTATGAATTTCTGGAATTTTAGCTTGAGTTTCCCGACCTTCATGAATTTTCCTGTTGAAGTTTATGCGTTTCCAAATGAACACATGAATTTCCTAGGAAAATCATGAAGGCCTTGAAGAACATGAATCTATGATGTTGTGTATGTCTGTAGATCTTCCTAGGTTTTTGTGTGAAATGTTTCATATTTGTAGTTTTGCATAAGGTATTCTCGACGTTGAGGTTTTTGTTCTTAGGTGTCCGACAAGTCATAGCAGTCGCAGGGCTTATCCCCTTTAGGGTCTTTACAAGTCACGAGGACTTGTCCCCATTTTCGAGAAGGGGTTTCGTCGAGGCCTCTTACCGTTTATAAGGGCTTGAGTCGAGGAGACATCCTCGCACTTAATCCTCTCCCTTTCACTTGATTTATGGTGGAAGGGTGGATTTGCTCTTCGTCGAATTCATTTTTGCTTCCTCTGCTTTTCAGGTGAAATGGCTGATCAAAATGAAGGAACTGTCCCCGAAGTTGAAGCGACTGCTAATGAGGATGTGCCTCCCATCAAATATGCCAACATGCGGGTTTCTCAAGGGGACCTTAGTTGGATTTCCCACGAGTCTCTAGCGACCAAATAGGCCTTTACCGAGGAGGAGGCTAGTACTTTCGATCTCCTCGAAGATAGAGCCAAAGATGCGCCCATGAGTTGAAGGGCGATTAGTCCAACAGAGAATGACCGGATATGCTCAGTGTATCTGGGGAGAAGACTCCTAATGTACAAATTTGCTTTTAGGGAGGCAGGATATCGTCTGCTATTTATAGATTTCTAAGGGGCGATATTTTGTCATCTCGAATTGTGTCCTGCCCAACTTCACCCGAATGCTCTGATGTTCATTCGGGGCTTTTGTGCTAGTATGTTGTTGTCTTATGATCGGGGCTACTGTGGAGCTCTTCTTCTGCATCTTTCTGCTACAGAGGAGCACCGCTGAGTCAAAGCAAAATTAGGTGTCTTTTAAATAGCAGAGCAGACTGTTTTTTCCCTATTTGGAGTCTGTCCGAAATTTCAAGTTCAGGTTTATGGTTGTAAAGCCTTTTTTAGAGGCGGTTAAGAGTTCTCTGGTCACCATGGAGACTATGGTTAAGGATGTTCGGGAGGTGGTGCGGCCTGTATCGAAGTTTCCGCTAGAGTGGTGTATGCCCATTTTAGATATAGGACCGACCATTTCCTTGTGAAGCACGACCAATTGTGCGTCGATTACAGCAAATCTCTTCGAGCGTTGACAACGTTCATGGAGAGTTTCGCCCATGCCATTGTGGTGGACAAGGATGGTAACCTCTTTTATGCTAAGGACAGGGAGCCTGCTCGGGCGGACCGTTACATAAACACTAAAGCCCTCATCGACTGTGAAACTGAGGCCGATGCTTTTAAACTTTTAGGTACAAATGATTGATTTTGATTGCACTTCTTGATGTTTTGATGTCGGGTTAACTCCTTTTTTTCCTTCCTTTATAGGAAAAATGTCGAACTTGCGTGAGCGCCTTGTCAAGTCCGCCGCAGCAAAAAATTTCAAGAAGGTTTCGACTACAAGGGTGGATACAATCAGACAACAAGTTGTCATACCCCAAATTTGTCCTACCTTTTTGAAAATTTTCATTTACCCGACTTTATTTTTCAATTCGTATCGCTTTTACGGCGTAACGTATTTTTCGGCAAAAATAAACTCTTTCACCTTTTTAGCCCAATAAATTTGTACCACATGGCATCTTTTTATTTATTATTTATGTTTTAACATTTTATTATTAATTGATTAATTAGTTTTAATAGGATAGAATTATAATTATCTTTTATTTATAAGAATAGAATTTTTTTTTAACTAGGAATAGGATCTTTTTTTTTTATTAATTAATTTAGAATTTAATTTAAAGAAAATAGAGTTAGTTTTTTTTAATTAATTAAAATTAGTTAGAATAGAAAATAGGTTTATTAATTTAATTTATTAAACAGAAAAATTTTAAAAAAAAGTGAAAACAGAAGAAGAAAGAGGGAAGCACGGGAAGTGAGAAGGGAAAATTAGGGTTGGAGATTAGGGTAAAAATTGGGGGGATAAATGGTTTCGGTTACTGCTCATCAAAGGGGGGGAGAAAACCCTAATTTCGGAGACTGTTCATCATCTCCTCAAAACAAAACGGCCGCAGCCACCCACACACAGCTGCCAAACCCTAAAAATCGGCCACCAACCATCATCATCATCTCAACACCATCACCGTCTTCCCGACTACCCTTTCTTCATCTCTCTTCGCCTCTCAAAACTCACATTGCGGTAGAACTTCTTCTTCCCCGAAACCCATAACTAATAACCTCACCAAGTCCGAGCACCACCGTTCAAGCTCGCACCAAATCCGTCGTCCAAATCCCACAAATGTCAAATCTGCTGTGAACCTTTTGAATACACCGTGAACCTTCAAATGACTTCATTTACGACAAACCTCAATCACCAAAAAAAACAAAATCCAAACTCACCACTACATTCATGCATTCACCAGCTGTGTTCATGGTTCCGTCATCCAAAGCGACAATAAAAGTGACTCCAATGTAGAGGTAATTTGAATTCCCCACTGGGTTGATTTGGTCTGTGCGTTAATTTCCTCGTTCAACAAATTCAGTGTTTCAAAGTCGGCGTCGGTTTGGTGGAAACAGAGCAACAACATCTTAGAAAGCTCAAACATTAATTGGTTATCACAGCTTTGATGTCGTCGGTTTCCAGTTTTTGAAGCCAAAACACAGTAGCGCTCTGCTACTTCAATAATATCCGCATTCTACAATCAACTCGGTGCAAGCTATGCAAATCGTGTTTCGTCTTTGTCTGTCATAACTGAAACTTCTAGTAGTGAAAGTGGGCATCCAAGAGGAATAGAGTGGTCTAAGTTCTCGGAGGTACTGAATGTTCAACCGTCACCCATTGATAGCAGCCATCATCTTCCACCTATCTCTTCACTCTTGCGCCAAAACTGTTCGACCAAATTCCCCAACCAAAACTTTTCTAATCAATACAAGATGTACGTCGTTAAGAGAGACGGACGTCAAGAGACTGTTCATTTCGATAAGATTACGGCGCGGTTGAAGAAACTCAGTTACGGTTTGAGCACTGAGCATTGTGACCTGGTTTTGGTTTCTCAGAAGGTTTGTGTCGGTGTTTATAGAGGTGTGACTACTAGTCAACTCGATGAATTGGCCACTGAAACCGCCGCCGGCATGACTGCTAACCACCCTGATTATGCTTCTCTTGCTGCTAGAATTGTCGTTTCGAATCTGCATAAGAACACTAAGAAGTCGTTTTCGGAAACTGTGAAGATTATGTACAATCATTTCAACACTAGATCTTGGAAGAAAGCTCCTTTGATTGCTGATGATGTCTATGAAATAATTATGGAGAATGCGGCTCGATTGGACAGTGAGATAATTTATGACAGGGATTTTGACTATGATTACTTTGGGTCCAAAACCCTCGAGAGGTCTTATCTGTTGAAAGTTGATGGGACTGTTGTTGAAAGGCCTCAACATATGATAATGAGGGTTTCTGTTGGAATTCACAAGCATGATATTGAATCTGCTGTTAAAACTTATCATTTGATGTCTCAGAGGTGGTTTACTCATGCTTCTCCAACTCTTTTCAATGCTGGGACTCCTCGGCCTCAATTGAGCAGTTGCTTCTTGATATGCATGAAAGATGATAGTATTGAGGGGATTTATGATACATTGAAGGAGTGTGCTGTCATTAGTAAATCTGCAGCAGGAATATTCAAAACTGACGACTGACTAAGCAGTAGCACACACACCTTAGCAGATCAACGAATTCAACTCACGCTTTCGCATCTGATTTTGACTGAGGAATGATGAACAGGTGTAGCTTTCGGTTTTGAGATGATTGGTTAATTTTGCAGCATTTGGTTATAGTTATATATGTTAACTTTGTGTGTTGAAGTGACTTATTATTATGACAGAAACATGTATCATTTTGGATTAGTATATGACACTGCATCATGCTATGATTTTGTGTATGAATGTGGTATGGATGTTACACGAGGCTGCCGCTGAAATTAATCCTTGGAAATCGGTATTTCGGCAATAGTTTTAACCTTTCAGTCAACAACAAAAACAAGGCGTGGTAACGGTAGCAGCATCACTTTGGCTGTTATCCTAATGCTGCTACTTGAGTTGTGTAAAACATGCTTTTATGGTCTGTTGCATCCTCAACGGCGGTAATGGTTACGATGGCATTGGAGCATAGAATTACAATAGCATGTGATGTGATACAGTGAAAACAACAACAATAACATCTCACGATGAACGTGTTTCGAGGCCTCCCATTTCAAGTGTTATTGAAGAAGGAAAACAAGAGATTGTAGAAATGTCATCAAAATCTCCTTCAATGTCGTCCTTATAATTTTTTGTGCTTGATGTCATTTCGGAATGTTGAGTTTCAGGTTGGAGATTTGGTTCGAACGAGACTTTCGGACATTGCCGTTGTTAGGACGATGCAATCCTCAAATCATCGCTACACATTGTTTCTACAAAAGTGTTGTTCGAAAAGTCAGTGACAACTTCTATTCACCACTGTGTTCCGCCACCGCTTCTAATAAACCACTGCCGTGATTTCTTTTTCTTGAACCAACATCAAGATCTCCATCAGCATCACCGTCACGATTTAAAATTAGTATTTATGTTTAATGTTATGGTATATTGTTGAGTTTCAGGTTCAATCTCTGGCAGAACGACTTGGTCTGAATAGAGCGGTTTCTTCGACAGACCCTTCTCATCGCAGCTCCATTGGCAATAAGATCTATGGTCCTAGCACGCTTCCTGTGATCGATTTGAATCCAAGCATCTGTTTTACAGAAAGGATAACAGAGAAGTCGCGATGTCGTCGGTTTCAATTACGTTAACAAAGGTTGTTGAAGCTGCCGAAGCCACCATTAATCAGTAGGACAGCAGGGATTGACGAGGGATCCAATAATGAGAGCTGCATAATGATTTCACCAAGGACAAATAATTGGATTCGACAACATAAAGCTACCACCGCAACACTCCTCCAACAGCAACAACTCATGTTCAACTTCTCCAACTAACGATGCCGAAACTCAGTTTCACTTCTTTCTAACAACAACGATAGCGTTTCGATTCAGGGAATTGCTCTGGTTACGGGATGAAGCAAGATTGGAAGTCATACACAGTTCACAAGAAGGTCGGTGTTTGAAATTCTTGATGTAGGTTCAGAGCTACACCGATTCTGTGATCTGAATGATTTAAAAGGGTTACAAATCGGATCCGAAAGGCTTGGATGTCTGTTGCGGTATTTGTTTATGTGTGGCAAGCTCCCGGAGAGAAAGAAGCAAGAAGAGTGAATGGGTTATGTATACGCTTAGTTTTTCTTCGTTTTCAATTCTTGTCTTGATTTCCTGTTCTGTTTGGGTATGCTTCCATTTATGTGCAGGTTGTGAATTGATTCAAGAGCTGACCCCTAGTTGGTCTCGACATGATGCCCTAGAATTCCATCTGTCAAAGCACATTTTCATGACACCAGTTGTTCATCCGTGTGACTCAACGACAACAACGAACAGGAAAGCTTTCGAAACAAATTGCAAAGATTGACCAGAAAGGAAAACCCTAGCTTAAATGGTTCAACTCAAAGGCCTGGCAAAGAGAAAGTACAAGAGTTTCGGGGACCGCTCAAAGTCTTGTACCACAAGGAAAAGATTGAGTTTTTGGCGGATGAAGTACCTTTATCCTCTGATAATCATGTTGAAACTACCACTTCAAGAGGAAAGCTGGAAGAAAAGTCCAAAAGGGTTGTATCTGCTGAAGAGACCTCGAAAATCCACTTTGGAGAATATCCCGTGGGCATTGAGGAATATGATGACATCCACCTTTGGGTTCCTAGAGGACAACCAACAATACCCAGGGAACCATGTCGGAAGCCTTGGATTGCTCCCTATGCAAATCAATGAGCGTATGGCCAAGGAAATCAGGATCCACGCCAAAATCAACACAGGCCTCGCAACAATTTGGGAAGAAGGAACGCTCCTCTTCACCCAATTCCTGTATCGCACACTCAACTTCTGCCACATTTGATTCGAAATTCACTAGTGGAACCTAAATCTCTCAAGCCAGTGCCAGAACCATACGCTCCTGGGTATGATCCCAATGCATATTGTGGATACCATGCTGGATCAATGGGGCATTCGACAGAAGATTGCAAAGCTTTTCAGGCTAGGGTGCAACAATTGATTGACGAGGGATGCATATCCTTTCAAGAAGGGAGTTTGGTTGTACGTATCCGCCTCGCGCCTGAATGAGATCGAAGACTTCAAGACGCATCTTCTCAAAGACAACTGATCAAGCAAGAAAAGCCCAGTTCCTCCATGTTGGCATTTTTTAGATCATGTTTTTTTATGCAATTGTAGTTTCTTTTTTGTTAATTACTACTTGCTTTTAGACATTGTTTCGTATTAATGGTATTGTTAATGTGATAATCCTGCATGTTTTGATCAAATCCATTCGTATTCACTCACAGTTTCTCATTTATTGCAAAAATCACAAAAATATTTCACTTCCTTTGTCGCAATGCTGTTTTGAGGGAGGATGACGAAAACAAAATACCCATAATTGCTGATAAGTATGCTTGTGGATAAAATCACGCCGAGGATGTACAGGCATTGCTTCAAATTCCCAAACACTGAAGAGATAAGGAGTTAGTCCCTAGTTAACCACTTCGAGCCTAGAAGTAGGAGTTTCCTTCGGATTTCTAAACCCTTACACTTAACCTGGGGTATGGGTAGTATTCAGTTAACTTGATTACGCACTCGAATCACGAAAGAAAACCCAAATACAAGATGTTTGTTCATCAATAACCCTTGACATGGCAGTCACAAACCAAAAAAATTAAAAGTCGGCTAAGTCGAACACCTTAAAAGGAGACTTAGGCAAAAATCAAGGCAATCCCGATGGACTTGAAGAACAAAATCAGTCCATGCAAAAGTTAGGGATCAAAATAAAAATCAAAAGAGGTCCTCAAATCCTCAACAAAAACACAATAAGATTCAGTGACCACCATATCAAGAATCAAAAGGGTCACAAACATCCAAAACAAAATAAGATGGCTGCCATTTCAAGCAAACTTTGAACCATCAAGTTTACATCGTCAAGCAGGTGCAAAATTAATTGAACGTAGGTATGGAGATCATTACGAAGAAGGGGTGGGTACAAATAATACTTTGAGCCTAATATCCTTTATTTCTATAACCTTGAACCAGACCACGTTACAACCCTCGAAAGACCTAATTGAGGCGAGGTTTATTCTGAAAGCATACTACAGCAAGGTTGCGTAAACTGACTCCTACATATTTGCTAATTTTATGTATTGGTGTCATATTCTTACTATATCTTTCACACCAATTAAATCAGCATTGCGTTCGGATTAATAGTCCACTCGTCACACATTTTCACATCATTCCCAATAATTGATATTTTCAAAACTTACATGAATGTCGCATTAAAATTACCATTTTTGAATGAACAATTTTAAACTGCAAATCAGTACTTGACATTATAGAAATTCCAACAAAGTGCAGTCAAAGAGGAACTTGATCGCTCATTGGTGTTGACCTGAATCAAGACTTTCTCATAACCCTACGAATCTGGGGGCAAGTCCTCTTGAGGTTTAAACCGGGGCAAACCACTTCAAGGTCCAGACACTGGGGCAAAATGGGTTCAAGCCATATCCTGGTATAATCATCGCCAAAGTTCTCATCCCAGAAGAAAATCCTTCAAATACCCCGTAAACTGGGGCAGACCATTTGAACTGGGGCAGACCATTTGAACTGGGGCAGATTAGCTGAACAGGGGCAATTTCCCTTCACGCTTTCAAATTTGATCAAGTTGACCACACCAGACACCAGTAATGGTTAGGGTCCATAAACGTCAAAAGCCTTGGGGCAGAGCAAAAGCACGACTAACACACATTGGTTAAGTCGCTACGCTCACGCAATCTATATGCATTGGTTAAGTCGCTACGCTCACGCAATCTATATGCATTGGTTAAGTCGCTACGCTAGCACGAGTAGCACGCATTGGTTAAGTCGCTACGCTCGCGCAGTCAACATGCTTTGGATAAGTCGCTACGCTCAACATTCGTAAGCCGTCATGACATATCAGCTAGAAGCGAGGTTCTTACAAGAACAAGAATACCACTTCTGCAAAGGATCCAACTTGGAGCACCAAGTGTATCCATATCTGTCTTCTGATTGTGGCGCTATCATATACCATGTGTTAGGAAGTCAAATCCTTTTACCAATAAAAGTCCAATCTCTCTTGGCATGTCCTTAAAGTCCAATCTTTTATTGGCAACTACAAAAAGCCACTCCAATTGGCACCTTCAATTCACCCTAAAAGTCCAGTCTTCATTGGCAACCACTAAAAGTCCACCCTCGATGGCATCCTCATAAAACCAAAGTCCAAATCCATTTGGCAACCACCGAATCCAGTCCCTGGTGATATCCCCGACAAGATTTTATCCCCAGCATACCTGATCATTTGCATTATCATAAGCACGACATACAATATCACATCATATCATAGTCATATCGAGCATTAGCATATCATTTGCATTCGCATCTTGCACTCCCTAGCAGTTGCATCTTGGTTGCATGTTTATGTATCATAACGCATATCATCGCCATCACCATTAACATGGCATAACAACATAGCAGGATCCAGGATCAGTTTGTAAACATCTTGGCCAGTCCTCCGGTGAAGTTGGC